CATTGCGTGGCCACTAAGTGGCCGTTGTGTGGCTAGTAAATAATGCTGCATGGCCAGTAAACAACCACTGCGTGTCCAAGCTCCCACCTGCATCACATTGGGTCGCAGGATGGTGCCTCATCCCACCCCAAGGTGCCACACCCCCTCCCAGCTCCTGCTGCCGTGCACGGAGCCCTCCTCCTGCCCGCACCTCCCCGCCCCGAGCGCTGGGGTTGCCCCAGGAGCCCCCCACTGGAAGCACCACAGCCCCGCCATCGAGGCCCCGCGGGCGCAGCACCATCCGCCCCCGCGCACAGCTGCACGCCGTGCAGCAGCAGCCCCGGCTGGCACATGCAAATGCAACGGCGTGGGTGAATTTGGGCACGTGGTGCATGGTGCAACACCCCCCCGGCGCACACGTCCCGGGTTCTTGGAGCACCCAGGCATCCCGAGAGCGCTTCCCGAGGCTGAACCCCAATTTCAGGAGGGAGCTGTGGGGGTGGCCACGCTCTCAGCCAAATATGCTGTCCTGCATGTGCGCCCCACGCCTTGCAAGCTGCTAAATTCATGCTGAAACCCACCAGTAAATGTGCAGCGGGTGAAGCCCAGCCAGAACCCAAGGGTGACCAGCGCTGGCCCCACACCCAGCGACCTGCAGGTACCAGCTGCAACCTTGCCAGCTTTGGTTCATTTTGGGTGTAGATGCAGGATGCTATCGAGTCCCGTGGTGGGACGAGCCGGTGGCAGCGGCACCACGACGTGCACGGGGCACCATGGGCAGGGGGAGGACCCTGCCGCGTCCCCCCCGGCGGCGTTTGGGTGGCAGGGTCTGCCTCGTTTCTATTCCGCGCGCGCAGCCTGTAATTTTGGTCTATTGAAGTCATAATTCACCGCTGAGAAAATAAACATTTGTGTTAGCTCGCTTTATTCGGCGGGCCTCGTCTGAATGTTAATAACGCCCTGCCGGCGCGCTCGCACGTGGCCTCGGCCGCCGGGACAGACCCGGGCACCCGCGGCCGTGCCCGTGCCACCTCCTCGCCTGCAGCAGGCTGTCACCTGCCGTCCTGTGCCATCCCTGGAGCCCAGCAGACAGGAGATGGGTAGGGAAGTGTCACACCGTGCTACACCAGGGATGACGATGGAGCTGGCGGCGAGGCCACCTCAAAAAAATGCGATATTTTGGGGATGAAACCTGCGGCATATCCAAAAGCCTGCGCTCATCCCTGGGTCAGTTTGTGTATTTTTTTGGGTGCTCCCCGGGCTGCACTGTCCCCAGTGAGGGCAGGGGGGCACCGAGGTGACCCCCCAGGTGCTCCAATCCAGCCCCAACCCTGCGCAGGGCTGCCCTGTCCCTGGCTGGGTTCCCCTGGCACCGGGTGCTGGGTGCTGGTGCTGGGGGCTGGTGCTTTCCCCTCCGCATTTGCATCTTCCCAGCCTTTATCTTCCTCCCAGTCTCTGTATTGCTGCAATTACAGACACTTTAAAACACAATGATCTGGCTGTTAGTGTGATGGATGACAGAACCTTTCTGTCTGGTTTAAATCACTGCCGAGAGTGAGCAAACTTCCCCGCCTTAACCCCTTCGTGCCCCTTAACCCTAATCCGGAACCCTCCCCGCCGCTGCCACGCACCCCACGGACACGCGTGGGTCCCACAGCAGCCCGAGACCGGCGTGCAGCCGGCTGGCATGGGGATGAAGCACACGTGTTGTGTCAATTTGTGCTCCCTTTGTGGCGAGGAGATGGCATCTCCTGCTGCTGAGCACCAGCCCTGTGCCCACCAGTGCCACCCTCCAGGTGCCGTGGTCCCCTGGGGCGGTGATGGCACCAAAGTGCACCGCTTCTGCTCGCAGGTGCTGCCTGCTGTGGGTGCACAGAGGAGGATGTCCCCTCTTCCCAAGCCTCAAGCCTTGTAAGAGAGCCCTCGCTGCTGGTTTCTTGCACCTTGCTGTGCCGTGAGTCATCCCCGTGCCGCCGCGCAGACCTGCTCCGCCGCGCCGGGGCTCATCTGGGGGCGAAGGCACCGAGCCGTGCCCGCGCTCAGCCCCAGCGTGCCGCAGGTTTCCTGTGTCACCCCCAGGAGTCTGGCTGCCCGTCTGGGTCTCTCCGTCTCTACACGCAACCTCACAGGGAGCTGAGCATCCCCGGGTGCCTCTCTGCGGTGTTTTGGCCGTGCCAGGGGGAAGCCCTTGGTGATGCAGAGCCCCTCACCCTGGCTGCGCGCACGGAGGTGGTGGCCTTAATCCCAGCTCCTAAATCCATCCCCGGGAGCTGGGCTGCAGCCCCCAGAGCTCTCCCCTTGGCATTTTGCTTGCAGCTGGAGCCCAGGCTGGTGCTCCCCTTCCCCGCAGGGCAATTTGGCAGGGAATGCGCGGGGGAGATAAGGGGCTGGTGGGGAGCCAGCGGCCGGGGAAGACAGCTCGCCCGCGCGCCGGCTATCGCCCGCCGCAGCTGCATCCGCCGCGGGGACATCTGCTGCTCAGGAAGCGCCTCTTGCCAGCTTTTCTTAAGAAAGGGGCTTCGCTTGTGCCTGGCTTCCCCCTGCGCCCGCTCGCGGGGGCTCCCGGCGTCGCAGCCCCCCGCCCTTCTGCCACCCCGGCCCTCGCTGCCGCTGGGATGAAGGCTGGTGGGAGCAGCCCCTGCCTGTCACCGCCTGTGGGGAGCGGAGCCGAGGGCTTTGCGGCTTCTGCACAACTTCCATGAACATGAAAAGGAAAAAAAAATCATGTTTTCCTGGCTGACAGATTCGTTCCTGCTTCCCTTTCAAAGGGAAACCGGGCCCTACTGCTTATCACCCCGGCGCGCCCTGCACCGCAGCCTCCAAAAAATCACCGTCCTGGCTTAGACACTGGGAGGCTTTGGGATATGTCGCTGTTCCTCTGGATGCCTTAAAATTCCAGGTTTTGGGGCTGCTGGGGCCGTGTTTGCAGCTTTTCTTTGCCATGGGGTGCCTGGAAACTGTCCTAAGTGGAGACGGCCTCGTGCCCCTTGCTCCTGGTGCCTGGGGGTGCACGGAGACACCGCTGCCACCCTGGTGTAAGCAGCAGTCGGCCAGCAGCACGTCCCCTTCTTGGCCTGAGGGAAGGTGCCAGAGGTGCTGAGCAGAACCCCAGCAGGTGCCCAGCACACGCAGCACACTGGGAGCACAGCACAGGATCCCTCAGCTCCTCCGCTCCCTGTCCCGGTGACATCCCCTGACCGGACAGGGGGCACACGGTGCTGAGCCTCCCCGAGAGCCCCGTCCTTCTTGTGGGGTCCCTGTGCTATCCTGTGAGACCCCCTTGCAGCAGAGGGACCTGGGGAGCTGAAAGCATCTCCTGGCCCTGCTGAAGCTCCACGGCTGCCCTCCCATCTCCAGCTCTGTGCAGCTCCTGCTCCCCTGGCTGAGCCACAGGGGAGCCCCAGCCTCGTGGCGGGGCCATCCCAGAGGTCTGGGATTCGTTACAAGGTCCAGATGCACTGTGGCAGCGGGGGGACGTTGCGGCTGCCTCTGGCCACCTGCATCGTTTCCAAGTTCCCAGGCTAAAAGCAGGGCTTGTTATCAAGAGCAAAAAATGTGCCACCTCTGTTGTATTTCATTTCCCTTTCTCCACCTCTTCCCTGCCCGCTGTGCATCTGAGATAACAGCTCTCCGCGCTGAAGCCGGAGCGAGGAGCAGGCAACGGCCTCACCAGCCCCTATCGCTGCCTCGCTGGCTGCGAGTAAATCAGGAAGTTTGCCGAGATATTTGGCCAACAAAATAAACGTTTCTCCTGCCAAGCACCTAACCGGCACCTCCGCCAGCCCGCAGCAATCTGCACGGCTCCGCTCGCTGCGCCCCTCCGGGTTCAGGGGGTTCCCCTCACCCTGTGGGGCTGGGGGCATCAGCGGGGTGCTGTGTGCTGGCACGGGGCAGGGACCGGTGTCCCCATTGCTCCCACAATGGGGATCACTCCCAGGCTTCAGCATTTTGGGTGTCTCTGCCTCAAATAGGAGCTCGGGTGCTGGTGTCCCATCAGAGGGGCGCAGCGCTGGCACCTGCTGTGCTCACACAGTGATGCAGCGCCCAGGAGAAGGAGCTTGGGAGCACCCCACGTCCTTGTCCCCATCCCAGCACGCAGGCTCAGCAGCGAGGGCTTCATCCTGACCCCTGGCCACGCCACTTTTGCCAAAGGATGGAGCCAGGATGGGAACCTGGGAGGTCCCCACGCTGCCCAAACCCTGTCCTCAAACCCAAGCTGGCCGCATCCCCATCCGGCACGGTGGATATTAGGGCCGGGCAGGGGGGCAGGGTGCTGTGCCCGGTGCATGGTGCCGCAGGGCTCGCAGCCACCGGGGGAAGGGGTGTGTGAGGGGAAGCACGGCAGAGGGCCAGCATTGTTCTCTCGGGGCAGACAAACGCCGGTGACTCAGCCGGCCGCCGCTTTCCTTCCCGCGCCCGGCACGGCCCCACCAGGTCCCTGCTCGGGGTGCTGAGGGATGCCCAGCACAGGGCATGGGGATGTCCCAGCCCCTGGAGCTGGCCCCGATGCTGTCACACTGCAAGGGAGCAGCAGCAGCAGCAGCTGGGGAGCCCTCGGGGCCGTATCCTGACCGTGGTGGGATGGAGCTGCTGCGGGCAGGGTCTGGCTGCTGCCGGGGAGCGAGCGTGGGAATGTGCTCCCGAGCCACACGTGAGCTGCTGACCCAATAATGAAAGAAAGCACTGGGTAAACAGGGGATTTAAACCCTGCAAATAAAACCTAATCGTGGCTGCTTGCTCATTACAGAAAGGTTAATTGCAGAGCGGGCTGCGGACGGGTCCCCGTGCCCCATCCTGCTGGTGCTATGAGCTCGGCTGTGCCCCAACCCCCTGCCCTATTGCCAGCTCCAACTGGCCCCATGGGGACACCCCACTGGGGACCCCCACGCACCACTTGGGCAGCACCTGCCTGGCCCCAGGGCTGCGTGTGACATCGGGACAAGTCACCTGCACCGCGCCACGTGCACGTGGGTCGCCCACAGCCCCCCGCCTCCCTGCTCCCACCGCTGCCTCGGCCTTACCTTGGCTGGTCCTGCCCGGTGCCCTGGCGCTGGAGGGGTGGCTGTCGGGCTTGGGGGGGTCCCCGGGCATCCCAGGGGTGCGGGATCAGCAGTGCCCAGCACAGCCAGCCCGCTCCTGGGGCAGGCACGAGTCTCTGCACCAGGGAAGAGGATGCTGAGCAGCGCCGGGCTCGGTGCAGCGCGGTGAGGTGCGGGGCGTCCTGCCCGAACGGTGCCTGCCCTGCCGTGAGGGCCGTTCATGTGACTGCCGGGGCCGGGGTGGCAGCAGCGCCGTGTCCCATGGCGAGGGGGAAGGTGAACAGCTGCCGGGCAGTGATAATGCGGCGGGTGGGGGGAGGCCGGGCAGCTGCGCCCGTGTCCTTCCCCAACAGGAACCATCTGCGACCAAGCCCAGCTCTGCCTTCCCTATCAGCCATTCCGGTCTGACTTTCCAACAACTTCCCCTTCTCGCCGGCTTCACTTCCTCACTGCGAGGGGCCAGCGCGGTGCAGCTCAGCATGGGTAGCACCGCAGCAGGGTGGCAAGGCATGGCACAGCATGGCATGGCATGGCACAGCATGGCATGGCATGGCACAGCATGGCACAGCACGGCACAGCATGGCACGGCACGGCCAGCAAGGTGCACCGCGGCACAGGCAGCGTGGTGCGGCACGGCACGTGCAGCACGGTGCAGTTTGGCATGGCACAGCCTTCAGAGCGCAGCCTGGCGTGGGCAAGGCAGCGTGGCACAGCTGGCAAAATGCAGCCTGGCATGGGCATGGGATGCACGGTGTGGTATGGAGTGGCTGGCACGGCACTGGCCAGTGAACGCAGGGAGCGGTGCTGCGTGGCGTGGTGCAGCCTGGCACGGCGTGGCACAGCCCGGCATGGCACGGTGCAGCCTGGCACGGCGTCGTGTAGCCCAGCACAGCGTGGTGCAGCCTGGCACGGCATGCCCAGTGCACGCTGTGGCACCAGGGGCTCACCCCCCTTGCAGCACACTGCTCTCTTTGCCTGGCTGTGGGGACAGGGATCTCCCTTGGCTGCTCTATCCTGGTGCCTGCTCTATCCTGGTGCCTGCTCCACGCACTTCCCTGCCTGCTCCCTGCACAGAACAACCCCCCAGTGGGTGCTGAGCCCCCTTTCAGCGCCGTGGATCCGTGCACCCCCAGGCCAGCCCCCCCAGTGCCGGGGTTGGGGCTCTCCAACAGCCGCTCTCGGGCAGAGCAGCCGCAAGCGAGAGAAGCGACTTGTTAGAAAACCGAGAGGCTGCTCCGGGCTGCAGGTGGGAGGGAGGAAACGTGTCCTAAAAATACAGCAGCGCCTGCACGGTCCCCGAAGGTGGCTCAGCAGATGGCGTGTCTCGGCGGCCACCTGGGCTCCCGCAGATGGCTCCCGGGGCTCCCCGCTCCGTTCCCCTCAGCCTGGGGCCACCAGGGGGGGGGACAGGGGGACGGGGAGGGGACGGTGGGGTGCAAATGGGGAGGAGGATCCTGGGGCTGCAAATTGCAGGGTGAAGGGGAAGCCACTGGTTTGCAGCATCACTGCCAGCGGGGTGGGGAGGGCTGAGCACTGCGGTGCTGGGCACCCCAGGGGATGGTGCACGTGGCTCTGCGTGCTGCTGGGGGGTGAGGGGAAGCCCCAGCACGGGGCCAAGGGGACGCACAGCTCCATGACAGGTAGGATGGCGTGCACCCAGCCTGCTGCCTCTCATGGGGACACAGCCTCGGCCCCACATCCCATGATTTCGGGGGGCTCAGCTCCATCCTGCCCACCCCCGGATGCCCATGGTCTGCCAGGAGGGACAGCGTGTGGGGACTGAGGGCTGCCGGAGGTTTCGGTGGTGTGGGGCTGTGTGGGGCACGATGCTGGGGCCGGAGGGTTTCCCTCCCATTCTCAGCCTCCCACTTCTTCCCCTTTTATTTCCTGTGGCCCCAGTTGGGCTCGGCATCAGCAGCCCGGGGGGGTTTGCCAAGGCGCCCTGCGGCAGGGCACAGGCAAAGAGAGACCGAAAGCGTGCGGGAGATCACACAGCAGGGGCTGCTCCCGGGGCGCGTGCCGGGGCACTGAGTCAAAGCCAGAGGCTTTCAGGGCCAGCAAGAAAAATCCCCACCAGCTGCGGCCCCGTGTCCCCCACGTCACCTGCAGCAGCAGGGTTTTCTCCAGCAGGCACCTGCTGGGCAGCTGCAGGAGCCGTGGGGCAGCAGCGTCGGGGAATGCCCCAGCGTGGGGCCGTGGGGTCTGCCCCACACCCGGGGGAGCCCCAGGGGTCCTGGGCTGTGCCCGGCGCAGGTGACCCCTTCCCGTGGAGCCTCACGGTGCTGCTGGGTGCTTTCTGTCTGAGTCAGAGCTGAGCTTTTGGGGCCGAGCAGAAACTTCCCGCGTGGTAAAGGAGAAGCGGGTGCGGCGCTCCCCACCCCGACACTCAGAGCAGGAGTGAGAAGGGAAGCAAGAAACCCCCACGGCACGGCACGGCACGGCACGGCACGGCACGGCACGGCACGGCACGCTGTCCCCTCTGTGTGACACGCAGCGGGGGCGATGGGGCCACCCCGGCTGGGAAACCCGAGGTCAGAGGAAGCCACAGCCATAACCCATGAGCAAAATAATAACATCTTCTCAACTCCAAGGCGGTGATTGCGTCCCAGGGCGGGTGGCACAGGGTGCGCGGGGACATGGGCGCGCGCTCTCCGGATGCAGCCGTTTCCTTGGGGTGGGCACAGCACAGGGGTGAGGGGATGGGGATTTTTGGCGTGCACCCCCCCGTGCCCGTATCGGCCTCTTCCACCCCGAGGAAACGCGGGTGCAGGACGGGAGGAAGGGGAAGCGAGAGCCGAGGCAGGGAGCTGGGAATGAAAGGGAGAGCCGCGGCCGAGGCGGGGAGAAGGGAGCCACCGAGAGTTCACATGAAACACAAAGACGAATTCTTTAAGAAAAAAAAAAAATCAAAAAAAAAAAAATCAAAGGGATGTGGAGAGGGAGATAAGAGGAAGACAGAGCAGTGAGACGCACGGAGTGGAGAGGACGCGGGGAGCGGGAGGCAGGAGGCGCAGGCGGAGGCGAAGTCGGGGAGCCGGGGGAGCTGTCTCGCGCGGTCCCTATCGGCTCTCTCCATCACGGTAGCCTAACCTCAAGTAGTTTTTCACTGAGATTGGAGTGATCAGGTAGGGCTGCCCTCGCAGGCAGCTGCAGGGCTGTGAATAAGCACCTGCTTATCTCTGCCCAACGGCTGTGCGCGGCTGCAGATTGCGCAGAGGACGCGGAGCTGCCTGCCGGCTGCGATTTCCATATCAGCGTCCTGCAGCCGCCTGCACCAAATAAACACAACAGCCACATGGACAAAAGGTTAATTATCAATTTTCAGAAAGGGAGAGAGAGGGGAGGGGGAAAAGAGGAGAAGAAACGCTGCCGTGAGCCGTGGGGATGCACAGCCACCCTGAGCCAGGGTGCTGGAACGGGCTCTGCGCCCGGGACAGAGCGACCCTGAGCGTCCCCAGGGGCTGCGCTGGGGTCTGTGGGGTTACGGGGCAGGGAAAAGAGCTGGGGATGGGGACAGGGACAGGCAGGGGGATGGGGATGGGGATGGGATGGGATGGGATGGGATGGGATGGGATGGGATGGGATGGGGATGGGATGGGATGGGATGGGATGGGATGGGATGGGATGGGATGGGGATGGGATGGATGGGATGGGATGGGATGGGATGGGATGGGATGGGATGGGATGGGATGGGATGGGATGGGATGGGATGGGATGGATGGGATGGGATGGGGGATGGGATGGGATGGGTACCAGCATTAGGATTGTGTCAGTGTGGGCAGTGGGAATGGAGGGAGATAGGAGCAGGCCCCTTGTAGTCCTATGGCTTGTCTGCTCAGCCCTGTTGGGTATGGGTAGGGCTGGGGGAAGGCAACTCCTCCTCCTCCTCCTCCTCCTTTTCCTCCTCGTCCTCTCCTCGTGGTGTGCAAGTCCCGGGTGGGGTAATACCCTGCAGCAAAATTTTGGTCAAGCCCATGCTTAGGGTCAGGGCTTGCTCTTCAACCCCACTGCTCAGCTCTGGGCTGAGAAGTGGGTTTGGGGGTCCTGGTGCTGCCCTGCACCCCATGCCTGCACTGGAAGGGGTTGGTGCCTATGGGGTTGGGGAAACTCCCCTTCCATCACAGCCACCCCTGCATGGGGACAATTATCCTGGTGCGGAGCACAGCCCCCGTGCATGCAGCACCACCAGCGCTCGCGATGCTTGCACGGGGAAACGCTGTGCCCCGAGAGAGCAGGGCGGCAGCCGTCACGCCGCCGGGGCTGCCCCGGGCCCACACGATGCCAGATTTAGCCACCGACAGGCTCCTAAAAATAGCTGGGAGCTGGGAGGCTGGCGAGCAGCGTCTGCTGCGCCGGGGAGCGAGCAGGGAGCGGAGCAGCCGCGGGCTGGCTGCTGGCTGGGGGGGTCCCCTGTGGGACTGGGGTCATTGGGGTTGGGGTGCACGGGGCTGTGGTTCACGGGGTTGGGGTGCAGAAGGGTTGGGTTGACTCAGGCCTTTTGCAGGGTTTGCAGCTCTGCAGCCCGGCGAGACCCCGTCCGGGTGAGGATATGGGTGGGATGTGGGGTGCCCTCGGGGCTCAGGGGAACCCGGAGGCTGTCGGGGATCGCTGGGCTCTGCGGTGCAGCCCCAAGCTGCCCAACGCCCCGAGCCAGCGTCTGGCCTCCAGCTGGCAAAACAAGCTAAAAATACGGGGCTAAGAATACCCGGGAATGCCGACGGCGTGTGAGCATCCCAGGGTGCGCCCTGCCGCCGTCCCGGGGCAGCCGGACCCCATCGTCGCCCCAGCACCCCCCCCTGGAGCCAACCCCGTCCCAAAAATACGAAGCGGGGCCCATCTGGTGTCCAACTGAGGAGCGCAGATGTGCTCGGGATTTCAGAGCCGGCTGGCAGCCGTTCAGACCTGTCGCAAGCTGCACCTGCTGCAGGATATTTTCCCTGCTGGATTTAATCCCAGCCAGCCCCCAGCAGCCCCAGGCACACGGTGGGGCCGGGAGACCCTCCCCGTGCCGGCCCCGTTGGCTTCCCCCATAAACACGGAGAGGTCTGAGCAAAACGTGCAGGTGGGGACGCTTGCAGGGGGGGAAATGTGTGTCCTGGGGAGCGCCCCCAGCCCCACTGGAGCCCTTCGTGCAGCCCCAGCCACGCTCTCGGGAAGGAAAACCTCTGCGCTTGGAAACTCGCCGGTGCATTTCCCCCCCCACCCCCCCCAAATTAACGTGCCGTTATTATTTTTTAACAAGGCTCGCCCAGATCAGATGCTGACCCCTGTAATGATCGCTCAGCCCGCGGAGGGAATAAGCAGCAAATCCCCTTTTAAATGAAGCCCTCGCGGAGGGATTAGGAGCAGAGGGGTGGCCTCTCCCCACCCACCCCCCCCC